ATAGAAGTGGGTATTCTTGCTCTGATTGTCTGTCAGAGTTCAGATGAAAGCTTATCACAGGTTGAACGGGGTCACAGGACGGTTGGCCAGGGACATCTTCGCAAAATATAACTGCCTTGCCCACGCGGCGATCCTTATTCGGTTTCCATTGAGACCACATCAAGAATTCTTTCAAACAAACTTTGCGTTCGAAATGGAAAGTCATGTCACAAATCATGTATTAATTCTTCGAAATCAAGTTTTTCTTCATGCCATCAAAAAGTGTGAATCTTTTCAAAGCAGTTCTGCGGGGCATTTTTCATTGCCTAAATTTCGAATTAATTTAACTAAGTTGCAGAGACAGAAATCTCGAAGAGTATTGCTTTTGCAAACTTACTATTCTAGTACAGATCCAGATTATTTAGTGATTCATTTTTTAGAAGGCTTTCCTAATGTCGTAAATAGGATCCTTACTTAGCTTAATTATCAATATTTGTTTGTAAACATAAATATAACGAGAAGCTTTTTTGACCTTGTTTTCGCAACTTGGTCATATTGGTAGGAAAACTTAGAGGAACGCAGCTAGTCCGGAGTCCATTGTATGCATGATCATTTCCAAAGTACTAGGGATAGAGACAGAATAGACGGGACGGTGATTGGAGCTAGTTGGCTTACAGTAGGTTTTACAAGAGACGTGGTCCATGTAGCAAAGGCGTGACCGTGAGACTTACTTTGAGGCTTTAGCCTCTAATCAATCACCCAGGTGCAGGGGATTGAAGAATTACGCCTCGAGTAGCACAGATGGGGGGGCAAAGGTCGAGTGAAATACATGTACTAGGGAGATAGCAGACGAATTCTACGGAGCAAGAGGGAGACTCTGATAGGACCAAGGGAAGGATAAAGTAACAATATGACAGACTCTGGTCAACATTCACAGCACAAGGGTAAAGGGGGTAATAAAAACAGTGTAGAGTGTGTAGAGTTTTCATGAATTCCGCTCAGATGAGCACACCACACTACATTAAAAATAAGTACGGTAAAAATTGTGACAGGGAAGGTGTGATAGGATAAAGGAAATGTGAATAGCCCAGGGCAGAAGGGAAGATACCACAACTATTTAGCACACGTTTGGTCAAAGGATGGGCTTCAGTTGTCTCTTTGACGAGTTGTAATATGGTGCTACGAATGGCGAGACTCACTGACGATGCCGGCGAAACGTC